ACTACTACTACTACCTACTACTACTACTACTACTACTACTACTACTACTACTACTACTACTACGACTACTACGACTACGACTACGACTACGACTACGACTACGACTACGACTACTACTATTACTACTACTACTACTACTACTACTACTGCTACGACTACTACTACTACTACTACTACTACTACTACTACTACTACTACTACTACTACCCTCTTCTTCTGCTTGAGTTCTCTCAGAGGGAAGCCTGTGAGGATTGGCAGGGTGCGCCTGTGTGTCTTGGCAAACGAGGTCTGGGTAGGCTCTGGGCCAAGGCGCGCGCGTGCAACCAGCAGCATGAGCCTCATGCCTTTGAAGCGAAAGCAGAAGCCAGCTTGGCGAAGCACAACAAGAGAGTTCGACTGTTCATCCGCAGAGATAGGTCTAGGCAAGAAGGTCTGTATGCAAGCGGGCTCGAAATTGCCAACAGAGATGGTATTCCGCTCTACGCAGCGTAATTTGCTGGACCCTCAACACTCGCCTTGAAATGATCCCGCCTTGAAATCATCCCCAGGAGGAATTTTGTCGACGCAACCTGAGGCAAGGGCGTTTTTTCGTCTGCCAGGCCCCCGGGGCAGGAGGAAAACGAACCTTGCGCTGCGAGATCGCCGAGGGCAGGTTAACGATTGAGCTGCTGGGGGAGGGGCCGTTGAACTCGTGCGGCTGTATGAAGATGTCCCTTTCCAGCACAGCATGTCTGAAGAGGTTTGGATCGAACGGTGGCTCATTACGTCGTGGCTCTTTACGTCCTGAGCTTGTCCGGTCTAGTGAGTCCGCTTCCAGCAAGGTCTCTCGCCTCCAGGACACGGCGGTGTCGGCACTGTCGGTGATCCTGCCTTCACAATGCGCGCTGGCAACACGATACTTCCCTCAGCAGGGCAGCGCCCTGATACAGCAATCTGGTGGTGAGCCTTCCCCATCCGTACACGCTTCAACTATGGCTTCTTGCCGCGGCAAATTCCGGGCAATATGCTGCCGTTGAGTTGCGTAGTTTCGCCTCGGTATCCTGAAATGCGCCACTTTTTACTGTGATGCCGTGATGCCCCTCATGCTGGGGCACTGGCCTTTCACAGGGCAGCACCCTGATACGGCTGTATGGGGGTGTGCCTTCCCCAGCATGCCAAATTTGTTCATAGACTCGGAGCTCTGTAGTTCGTGAATTTCTCCGCTCCCAGACGAGATGTTGGTCTCCAGGGCGCAGCCTGGCGGCAAAGCTGACCGTCCTCACCCTTTATCAAGGAAATTGCCAGAAAGAGGTAAACAAATGTGGCTGTCAATTGGCATGTGAAGTACACACGCCTATCACCAGTTTGAGGTACCCGATCTGGCACAGTATGTGTACGATCATGGATGAATGGTGAGACTTCCCCACTTCTACGGGCATCGACGATTTAGGATGGGAGAGCCCAAGTGCCAGACCCGACATACAAAGGGTTATGTCTAGCCTTCAGGGAATCAGCGCTACACTACAATGCACCTCCTCCTCCTCCTCCTCCTCCTCCTCCTCCTCCTCATATGCTATTTCCTATCACCACACGGCGAGACAGTGGACAGCATCCGAGAATCTTGCTTGCTCCTCCTCCTCCTCCTCCTCCTCCTCCTCCTCACCCTCCATCCTGCTTGCGCTACAATCCAGTGCTACGCACACTGGCCGACGCCTCACCCCAGCGCGACGCAGACCCGCTGATCAGGCCGGGCACCGAGAGCACCTTCCTCCTCCGCCTCCCCCACCTCCTCCTCCCGTTCTCTGCTCCTGCTCCTTTCCTCCTGCTTCTCTACGCTTCTCCTCCTCAACCCCTCCTCCTCCTCCTCCTCCTCCTCCTCCTCCTCCTCCTCCACCTCCTCCTCCTCCTCCTCGGCGTCCTCCTCCTCCTCCTCCTCCTCCTCCTTCTCCTCCTCCTCTCCTCCTCCAAAGCCCCCCCTCCCCCTCCTCCTCCTCCTCCTCCTCTCCTCCTCTTCTCCTCCTCTCTCCTCCCTCCTCCCTCCCCCTCCTCCTCCCTCCCTCCTCCCCTCCTCCTCCTCCCTCCTCACTCTTCCTCCTCTCCTCCTCCTCCTCCCTCCTCTTTGTCCTCCTCTTTGTCCTCCTCCTCCTCCTCCTCCTCCTCCTCCTCCTCCTCCTCCTCCTCCTCCTCCTCCTCCTCCTCCTCCTCCTCCCCTCCTCCTCCCCTCCTCCTCCTCCTCCTCCTCCTCCTCCTCCTCCTCCTCCTCCTCCTCCTCCTCCTCCTCCTCCTCCTCCTCCTCCTCCTCCTCCTCCTCCTCCTCCTCCTCCCTCCTCCTCCTCCTCCTCTCCTCTCCTCCTCCTCCTCCGCTCCCCTCCTCCTCCTCCTCCTCCTCGTCCCCGTCCTGCCTTCCCTGCTCTCTCTCTCTCTCTCTCCTCTCTCTCCTCCTTTTGCTCCTCTCCTCCTCTCCTCCTCCTCCTCCTCCTCCTCCTCCTCCTCCTCCTCCTCCTCCTCCTCCTCCTCCTCCCTCCCCCTCCTCTCCTCTCGTCCTCGTCCTACTTGTCCTCCTCCTCCTCCTCCTCCTCCTCCTCCTCCTCCTCCTTCTCCTCCTCCTCCTCCTCCTCCTCCGCCTCCAGCTTCTTGCGCGAATGCCCCTTCTTCCCCCCCGCCCGCCGCCCTGAAGCGCGGCCGGTGCGCGGTCCTCGAGCACCGTACGAACGCGGTCGATGGCCACCAGCTGTGACTCGAGCTCCTGGCGTCGGCTGTCCTCGAGGAACCGCCCGGGGGGTGGGGGGGACGGATCGGCCATTATCGAAGCCTCGAGTTCCTCCTCCTCCTCCTCCTCCTCCTCCTCCTCCACCTCGTCCACTCCTCTTCCTTAGAAATAACTTCTCCTTGTCGCACCCCGAGGCCAATTTTTAGGGCGGGCCGGGCGTTTCGCCTGAGACTCACCATTTATGACCCTGCAGCTTAGAACATGACAACAATTGCACAGGTGGAGGGCGGAACGTTTTCAAAATGTGGCTCTCACCGTAGCGCCGCGCACACTCGTCCCCCAACCAACGCTTGCACTGAAGGGGTCCTAGCGGAAAATGAAAGATTTGGCTAAAGTTTCCCGCCGATTTTGGTAGCAAACTGGGTTCCCGGGTTCCCGGTCCCGGGTTCCCGGGTTCCCGCTATTGGTTCCGGGGCCGATTTCGGTGGGGTCTGGGTGCCCGGACTCTCGGGATCCCAGGCGATCTCCTCAGCGAGGACCATCCACTGAGTGGGGCTCCTCTCTGGTGCAAGTTTCGACACTTGTAGGAGTTTCACGGATTGGGAGCGGGTCGTTTTCAAAATATGGTTCTCGCCTTTATCGCCGCGCACATTCGTTCTAAACATAGGAGAGAGCTTCACGGATCTGGGGCGGGACGTTTCCAGAAGGTGGCTCTCGCCTTCGCGCCGCGCACGTTCGTGTTAAACAGTTGCCCGAGATGTGCGGAGTGAGAGCGGGTCGTTTTCAGAACGTGGTTCTCGCCTGAGCGCCGCGCACATGCGTTTCTAACATGTGCAAGAGTTCCACGGGGTCCCATGATCAGCGTACCAGAATGGGTGTGCAATAGATAATGTGATCCGTGGCGTTGGAAGCACGAGAACAATGTTTTGGCATGCTTCATGGTCTTCGAACGGCCGTCTTCCAACGAGGTATAGCCCTCAGTGGGAATGAACCGCTGTAGATCCCTATGAGGAGGGAGCTTCGAGGGAGGGTTTATTCCAAGGTCGTTGATGACTCTTAGGTCCTCCTCCACCTCCTCCTCCTCCTCCTCCTCCTCCCTGTCCTCCTCTCTCCTCCTTCCGTCTCGAGGGCTGGCACGTCTGCATGGTTCGATCTACCTTTGAAGGCCACATCCCGCGCCTTGGGGCGGCGGGATGGGCAGTGGTGGTGACGGACTTGGACGGGGTGGTGAAGCAGATGCCCTGGGGTGGACGGTTTCCCCCGGGGCCGTTGGCGACCCGAGGAAGAGGCGGAGGAGGAGGAGCAGGAGGAGGAGGAGAGGGAGGAGGAGGAGGAGGAGCAAAAAGGAGGAGTAGAGGGAGGAGGTGGAAGAGGAGATGGAGGAGGAGGGGGAGGAGGAGGAGGAGGAGGAGGAGGAGGAGGAGGAGGAGGAGGAGGAGGAAGACGGGTCGCCTAAGCTTTCGGAGAAACCCTCCACCGGAGGGTGGTGCCACTCAGAGGCCCCTCTCCATGCCGCCCGTGATCGAGAGGACTATACGGTCCTCCAGCTTGTGCTGAATGCTGTGTTGTGCTCGGGCGGCCAGCTTCGTGTTGATTGCGCTGGGACGGCGGCCTGCGCCATCGGCCCTCGGAAAGCGCCTGGGCCCCAGAACCCGAGGGCTGACTGGTGGGCCCAGGTCCACGACAAGCTGGACGAGGCGGCGGTCCACAAGACCCCGTCCCGCTGCACGGAGAATGCTATCAGAGATCGCCTCCTCCCTCGTTGCCACCGGCTTGGCACCCAGGCGGCCGACCGGCACGCCCGACTGGAGGCCCAGTGGTTTCTCAACTCCGACGAGGACCGCCTCCGGATCGTGGGATGCCATGGGGTTGCTCGCCAGGCTCCGAAGTTCGCGGCCAGGCAAGCAGTGCACATAGCCAGCGGCGCCTCCTTCGAAGGATTGCAAAAAAACGAATGATTGCAAAACAAAAAACCTTCGAAGGATTGCAAAAAGAACAAAAAATGCAATCCTTCGAATTTTTGTTTGCAATCATTCGAAGGTTTTTTTGCTATCCTTCGAAGGATTGAAATCCTTCGTCCCTCTGGGCCGATTGACATCTGTGTTCCTAGCGTTTCCACCGATCGACGGTGCTGAGGATGTGGGGGCGGACGGGCCGGTGGTGGGGGCGGGGGCGTCGTCTGTCGTCGGGGAGGGCGCGCAGGCTCGCCGTCGCTCGGGCGTCCGTTCGCCGTGCCTGCTTCAACCTCGTGCGCTTCTGCTCTCGTCTGGTGATGCAATCTGCTCCACGGTGGCCCTCGCCGAGAAAAGTGCGCACGTCCGAGCGATGCCAGGCAAAGAGAGGTGGCGCCCGCCCCACATGCGGCCGGCGGGCCTCAGCCCGAGCCGTGCGACGAGGCCCAGGCGAGCCTCGGAACTTGGCGGGCCCGAGGCCACTCGCGCCTCGAGGCTCCCGTCTTGGACCCCAATCGTGCCATCGCTCGGACGTGCATTCCCCGTGCATCTTCGGTGTTGCGCGAACATTTGCGCAGGATGCTCCTCGGTGGTCCGCGGTGAGAAAAAGTACACTTCCGAGCGATGCCAAGCAATGTGGCACCGCTGAGTCCTTGGTGTTGTGCACCACCTGCGGAGCAGCTGGTCACACTGGCAGCTGCTGGGGCCGAAGTATTCTCGCGTCGGATTGCCCTAGGGCGCGCAGTGATGGCCGCCAGCGGCAACTGGCTTGGATTTTGCGGGGGAAACGCCCGCCTCGCCAAGACGGGCGCGTGGGGTTGGACCTTTCTTGCCCTCCAAGCCTGGGCTTGCCAAAACTCCCTCTCTGGACCCGCCCCGCCCTTGGGGGCATGAATTGGCCTCATCTGCGGGCTCGCGCTGTTCAAATTATCCTCCCGCGCCGTGGCTGAAGAGCGGGGCACGAGGGTACAGGACAGAAGGAAGCGTGAGCCCGACGAACTGATGGACGATGCTTGCCTTTCCAGTTGATGCGTGCATGGGAATAGGTGGCCCCCTTCAGCTGGTGCTGCGCTCCTCCTCCTCCTCCTCCTCCTCCTCCTCCTCCTCCTCCCCTCCTCCTCCTCTCCTCCTCCTCCTCCTCCTCCTCCTCCTCTTCCGCCTCCTCCTCCCTCCTCCTCCTCCTCCTCCTCCTCCTCCTCCTCCTCCTCCTCCTCCTCTCCTCCTCCTCCTCCTCCTCCTCCTCCTCTCCTCCTCCTCCTCCTCCTCACCTCCTCCTCCTCCTCCTCCTCCTCCTCCTGCCTCCTCCTCCTCCTCCTCCTCCTCCTCCTCCTCCTCCTCCTCCTCCTCCTCCTCCTCCTCCTCCTCCCTCCTCCTCCTCCTCCTCCTCCTCCTCCTCCCCCTCCCCCTCCCCCTCCCCCTCCTCCTCCTCCTCCTCCTCCTCCTCCTCCGACGTACGGGGAACATCAAGACGGAGATCTTCGCCGTTCTCGGCCTCTGGGGGGCCCCCCCGGTCAACAGCGCCGCAAGATGAGAAAGACCGCTCCCTGGGAGCGGCTCGGGACTCCGGGGGGGGCCCGTGGGGAACAAATCCAGACACGGTCGCAGGCCCGGGGGGGGGGGGAAAGAGGATCAACCAAGTGCCCCTGTCTTCCCGCTTGCGAGGCGACCCGCCCGCGTCCAGATGCCTGCGCTACAGACTCCAGGCCCGCCGCGTGCCTGGCGTGGTCTCGCGAGGCCCGGTCTGAGCCTGACCAGGGCGAGGCGTCTTCTTCCCGTGTCGGCGGTTCAAAGCTGGGGCGCTGAGGCGCCACCACCACCACCACAACCACCACCACCACCACCACCACCACCACCACCACCACCACCACCACCACCACCACCACCACCACCACCACCACCACCACCACCACCACCACCACCACCACCACCACCACCACCACCACCACCACCACCACCACCACCACCACCACCACCACCACCGTCGTCCTCGTCGATGCTCCCCGCCGCCGCCGCCCGCCGCCGCAGGCGCCGGCGATGGCCCAGAAAAGGAAACCGTCGTCCCCGCCGCCGCCGCCAGCCGCCGCCGACGCAAGCGCCGGCCCGAGAAGAGGGGAAGCAGGGGAGGAAGGGAGGGGGGGTCCGGTTTCCCCCCCCCCTCCACCTCCGAGCGACCACAGAACGCGATCTTTCGTACGAAGGAATCTCAGGTTGAAGTGATCGCGTTTTGGGACCTTCGGCCTCACGGCTCCATCGTTCAATGCCCCATCTGTGTGCCGCCGATCGTGCCGCCCGCCTTCTCGTGACGGCGTGCGGGGGCAATCACGTCGGAGACAGTTCCCCTCTTTCGGTCTGGGCCGCCGCCAGGCCCCAGGACAATCCAACAATCCAAAAATGGAACAGGTTGAAGAGCCGGTCCCTGGGAGTCACGTTCAGGAACAAATCCGGAAGACGCCGCGTGTCTGGCGTCGGGTCGGATCGGGACTTCGGCGTCGGATCGGGCCGGGCCAGCCGGAACCAGTGTCCCATGAACCCTGAGGGCGGGCGGGGGGGACGGAGGCGCCCGCTCACCTCCCCAGACATCCTCGCGCCTCGAGTCTGGCCGTGTTCGGCCTCTGGGGGGCCGTAAGTAACCGGGCCGCCCCGAATTGTAGAACATGACGAACGAACAACACACACCCGTACCCCATAGGGAGGTCGGAGGGAGGAGGACTGGCTATGGCTATGGGCGCGGGTTGTCGGACCCCTGGGGAGGCTTCCGTCCGAGCGGGGGCCCCACATCCGACAACACGCACCCATAGCCCCTTCCGTCCCCCCACTGGGTATGGGTGTGTACTGCTCGCTCGTCAGAGCAACTGCCTC